CCATAAATACTGCACTGTTTCTGGAAAAGAAGAGACAGGTCTTTAAATGAAATATGAGATGTAGCATTGGGATGTGATAGTACTGCTGTAGATCAACAGCCATCAATCTGTGTTACTTAATTTGTCCCTGGCTCAGCTGTTCACTGTACTTGGGACTTTTTTTGCTGTTTGTTTCATTTTATTTTCCTCTGAGATAAATGAAGACAAAAAGAAGGGGCCAATTGTTCTTGAAAATAAAAGTAATTTTTAAAAATATAACTGTAAAGGATATTCTACATTTTTGAACAGCACTTTTTTTCTGACTTTCACAGCACTTTCACAGAATTATACGTAATTTATTTCACTGCATATATATTGAACATCCTTATATGTCATTGCTTGTTACTCCAATTTTCATATCAACTTCACATACACTCTTTAAATGCTGTAAAAAAAATCTGTTGGAATAAATGGTTGGGGTTTTTTAGCTAAGTACTTAGAAAGATATTATTCCTCATCTGGGTATGCCTGTAACACTTAGGTTGCTTTATTTATCCTGAGTGTTCTGGGGATGCAAGGTCTTTGTTGCTCTAAGTGTCTAAGGAACCATATGTTGTAATTGTTTGACATCTTGAACACAGATTAGGTGGGTGGCTATGTGTAAGCAAGCTAACTTGAGTTTTCAGGACATCAGCTTTTTGATGTGTGTCAGATTACTTTCTTTTATGAAGTAATGTATGTGAAGGAATATCTGAAATATGCATGGGATAGTGAATATAAATATACTGTTAAATCAGTAGAGAATGTGACTCCCCACACAGTTTCAGCAGCTTTAAAACTCGACTATGCAAGAAGACTGGGATCAGTGCGGGGGACACTGGCTGCCTTCCCCTGCCATCACCTTACGGCAGCGGTCAGATGGTGAGATCAGGGTGGGAGGCTTACGCAGGCAAATACATAAAGTGGCTCTTTCTGACTTTCTTTGTTTACCATGTTTTAATTGAGAGGGTTTGGAGATGACTGCTCCAGGAGGATTTCTTAGCTTGCAGGAGGTCGACTTCTGTTGAAATACTGCAGGGTACTAGGATTTTGCCTTTGAAGCCTGCCAACACCAACTTGCTTTTGGCAGAAAGTGCCAGTGGAATGTCAGCCATCTCCCTGTCCTAACTGGCAGGCCTTGGAAGATCAGTTCAGGGCTCAGGCGCTACAAGGAGCACTAGTGTTTCAGTGGACTTGAGTTTGGATTAATAACTTAAAGGGCCAAATGTTCAAAGGGCCGTCTTCCAATTTTACACTGGTAGTTGAGTACAAGTACAAAATTATGGGCAGAAAATCACAGATAATTTTTTTCCAAGCTGACCTTTCTGAAAAGGAGCCAGCAATTATCTGTATTTGGGCACTGTTTCAGCAGTGTTTTTAGGTGTTGCTAATGTAATATTTTCATTATATTTCTGCTGGACTATTGATTAACTATTCAATTATTTAAGAGAAAGAAATTTAGTGTTGTAATGAATAATAGCTTTTTGGATTGGTACTTGTGCTTTGCACAAGCGTGCATGGATATTGAGTTTGTGTAAGTACTGATAAAATACGAGCATCTGCATTTCTGTGTGTTGACGATCTCACAGAGTGGATGGGTAATGCCAAATGTGTTTATACCTTGTTGCTTCAGTATCTAATCACTTTTCAGTTTGCAATATGCTTATTAAAGCACCTGGCAGGTTGGTCCGTCCTCTTCCCCTGTTTTCTGTGGAAGATGCTGAGACTTTTAGAACTTGTATGTCCTAAATTTCACCTGAAGTTTCAAAGTCTGATGTTGTATGATGGTTAGGTGCTTCTGAAGGCTCAGAGCCAGCCTGCAGAAAATATTAGATACAGAATTTGGGTGGAATTTGAGCTACCTCAGTCTAGCCCACTTTGCTAACCCAGTGTCATGCCTTAAGTCTTTGACAGTATGATTTAAACTCAGGTCCCCTGAATCCTAGGCACATATACCAGCCTTTGTCTTGATAAAGGTATTTCATTACCATAACTAAACTAATTGCCTAGATTGCTTGCCTAGTGGCATGTCTCTGTGGTATTTTGACCCAGTTTTACTCTGGGAGCACTGAAGGAACATTCCTGAGCTTCCAAAAATAATATTTGATAGATTGAAAAGAGCTTACTTCATTATTTATTCCTGCTTTGCTCTAGCCAAGCTCCCAATGACTCCAGTGGAAGTCAGCTCATCAGAGTGCCTAGCACTGAAGCAGATCTTCAGACTTCATAAGATATCCATGGAACTGTAACAGCATTCACTGTAGCAATTGCAATGCACACTGATATATTTTGGAACTTAGAAATTTAAAGCAACTTAAGAGATTTGGACATTTGGTTCCCATTAAAATCAGCACCCCCTCCCCCTTTTTGGAAAACTGAGGAACGAAAAATAGAAAGGAGAGTCATGAGGGCACTCTAGCAGTTAGGACCCTGGTGCCTTTATCCAGTCTTTAAAAGAAAGCCTCTAAAATTACATCCTGGGCAATGGAATTAGTTCCTTTATTTGTACTGAACAGCACCTGCTTCACTGAGTGGTGTAGCAGCGGTGGCTGCTGCTAAGACTAAGCAAACAGGACTGAGGATGCAGCTCTTCACACTTTTGCTTGATGACTTCCCCATAAACTGTAAAATCTCTAAATTTTGCTTTTATTCTTTTATTTCTCAAGTCACATTAATTACAGAAAATACCACATAATTGTTTACTTTGTTTCATTCCCAACATTCACTGTAACTTCAGCCGTGAACTTTGCTTGAGCAGCAGAGGAGCATGGTTAACTTCCACAGAGAGCATAGAATACTTTTATCGTGAAAAGTTAAGGTTCCTGCTTATGTTTGTTGGCATTACCCTTATGGCTAGAAGAACAAAGTTGGAACCAGCTTGTCTCCATTGTATGAACTCAAGTGTAAGGTAAGAAAGCTCCTAGTTTTGTACATCTCGTTGGTCTGTTCCTAGCTTGTGCCGCTGCTGGGAGCGGCCTCTGTACAAACTGGTCCTGTGCCGTGAGGCAGTGAGCCTTCACAGGATGCTGCGAAGGAAACCTCCTGGAAGTCAAAAGCAGTTGTGCTGTCCTGGTCACCTCCAGGTGACAGGAAACCTGAGGCTGGAAATGGTGTCAGGGACATTTGTGAGTAGTAGTGATGTCTGTGTATCTACTCTTAAGTATTTCCAGCTATTGAACTGCCTTCTGAAAATCACAGGCAGAGATGCACACAAACCTCAGAGAGCAGTGCTTAAGGGGAACGTGGAAAAGCTGAATATATGACTGAGAGCATGGGGCTTGTACCAGAAATTATAGACCAGTTGTTTTGCCCTGCATGTAAGGGATAATAATTTGCCCTCGGTACAATGACTCCTAGAGGCTTAAATAGACTCTGTTAACTGAAATATCATCTTTTGTTAACAGAGGCAGCTTCTTGTCTACTGTCCTCCCACATTAATCGTGTAAGATGTCAGTAGAGGGAACCCAGGAACCCAGTGCAGAGTCTGGCGTTTCTGCCAGTTCTTCTATCACCTGAATTTCGCTGTGCTCAGATAATAAGAATCACGTTGTCAGTGCTTTTGTATTCAGTACCTCATCCTTCTTGGAAATGTTTAGCTGTTTCACACAGTTTTAAATTTTCATTAAAAACAAAACAAAACCACAACCTGTCATTGGCAATATTCCTGTTGGTCGTGGCAACAATTTTTAGAGGTAACTAGTGAGTTTGAGTGGCTTAGTTCTTGACTGCCCAGATTAAAACAACCTGTCTCTTAGCATGCATTCTGAGCTCTGCATATTATTCAGCCCTTTCATGGTATCTTGAGTTATTAATCATAAATGGAGGCATCCAAAAAATCCTGATCAGTTTTGAAACTCGTGGCCTCATTTAGCTTTCGTAACAGCTTGTTTCTAACAAAATCTGATGTAGAGCCAAATGAAGTGTGTGTTTAAATGATCCCTTGCCTAAACTATCATGAAAATTTCAGATGGGATGAGAAGGAGGAATGCCACAGAGGGCAGCTTGTTGGAAGCTTGCTACTACTTAGAGACTAAAATAGTGTAATCAGCAAACACTCAGTCACTTTAATGCTTCTTCAGTGAAATCCAACTTTTTGTTTTCTGCTTAACTATTCTCTTGCACTTTCCTCAATCGCTCTCACACAAATACTAGAATACATTTTAATTTCAATGCGCCTAGATTTTCCTGTTTGGTAGAAACTGTAATTAAGAACAGAATTAGGGAACCTCTGGATAAATATAATACATTTATGAAGAATCAGCAGGGCTTTGTAAAGGCTTCTTAAATTGTTAAAGCTCTTTGAAGTAAACATGTGGATCAAGAACATCCAGTTAGATTTCCAGAAGGCTTTTGCAAGGTCTTTCATCAAACTTCTTGAAAGAAACTGAACTTTCTTGTTGGGAGATTACAGAAGAAAAAGTCTCTATGTAAACAATATGATAGGAAATGATAGGAAACAAAGTCTGAGAATCAGTGATTCACTTCTAACAGAGAAGCAAGGACGTGTCAAATGAAATTGAGGAGGCAGACAGAAAAACAAAGGAAGTATTTCATACAGTACGTGGCTAAGATGCGAGACCGTCACAGGATGTTGTTGACGCTAAAATTTAAATTTAGGGGATTGAAATTTGCATTTTAATGGATCAAAAATGATTAGACAAATTATTGGAATAGAATCCATCAAATGCTATTGAGCACGCAGATGCCACTTGTGGCTGAGGAAGTCAAAGTTGCAGATTGCTGGAGGCTGGAAGGGTACAAGAGGGATGTGTTACTATCAGCCGTCATCTTACGCTCTGCCCTGGACGCTTGTTACTGACTGAAAGCAGGATAGTGGTCTTTGGTCTGATATAGCACGATTATCTTATGATACATAATTATTTAGAATGGTTTATCTCATTTCTGTCTTAATTTGTTTCCACTCCCCCAAACACACTTTCTTTGACCCAGTATGTTTTCTGTTTTTCTGACTGATTGCTCACAGGGCCAAGCAACTTCCAAAGAGCTTTCTTCTGCAATCCTGCTAATGTGCTGTGTGTCTTCATGTGCTGGTAGTCTGTAAAAACAGGATCCATCAGGAATTTTTAGCACTTTGAGGTAAGATTTTTAACATAGCTCTTTGTTAATGCATTGCATGGAAGTTTCTGGGAAAAATTCAGGCTAGGTTAATCGACTGAATATACATTTGGACATCTAAAAGCATGAACTTCAGAAGTATATAAGGATTTGAGAGTATTGCATCCTAGTGAAAGACACTTCTGGAAATGTTTTCCTTAATTGCAGCTGGACACCAAATTAGTTTTTTGCCTGGTTCAGAACTTATTTCATCCCAAATTGAGATGAAAGCATTTAATTTAGAACTTTGTCATGGAGTGGAAATTCTGGTTGAATTTCATGTCAAAGTCATGTTATGAAATATTTTGTGACAGAAGTGTAAAAATGAAATGTTTCGCTACTACTGCCCCTGAACAGAAAATTCTCTAATGGTCTGTCAGCCAAGGAACCAGAGGAGAAATTTAATTTTTGGTTTTGGTTTTCTTTTTTTCTCCCAGCCACTTAAAGTATACATTAGTCCTCTTTCATAAGAATATTACCAAGGCCAGGTCCTCAGCACCTAGAGAAAGCTTTAGAGGATATTTCCTTCACCAAGCAAGGATTCTTTGGGGTCTTATTTTCTTTGCATGTAGCTCCCAATCTTGTGGGGTACTGTCATCCTCAGCTTGTGCTGTACAAACTGCATAAAGAGAGTAACAAACCTGCTTTTGTCCACACTCGCATGTACTTCATCCACTTTAAATGATCATCTGCATCTTCTGGTCTCTTTGCAAACTCCAGCACAGTTTCCTCAACAAAGGTTTTTGTAAAGTGAGTCCACAGACAAATAAATCAATGACTTCCCACCTACTAGTTTTTCTGTAGCTAAGATTTGGGGCTTAATGGTGAAAGTGTGTTTCTTTTCTTTTGTGATGGAACCGGTGACCTGTATCAATATTGTAGGCGAAGTACTGAAATTTGTTAAAAAATGAGCAAGGTATGTGAAAATGGTTTAATGAGTAACAGATACCTAACCTAATCAGTTATAATTCCCAGAGAGTGAGACACTTGTGAAAAATCACCAGATTGTATTTTGGATGGAAAGACCCTCTTTCTTGCCAAATTGTACCTAAATTGACTTCTTTCACTCCTGAAAAGAAAAATCAGTCCTGGAGAGCCAAAAAGTTAGAGTTCATTTGGGGACTGCACAGAGAGAGGACCTGCGCATCATTTATTTTCTTGGTAGGCTCCAAAGGCGCCCTCTCCTCGGGGCACTGGCAGTGGCAGACCCTGGAAATGCTTCCATGATTAGGCTGTATCTTTAATGGAGTTACAGGCATCGTCCCCCTGAAAGGCTGATGCTGTCTCCTCGGAGAATATGTTCCAAACATTAAACGCAATGCAGGAGTGTATGTGGTATATATAATGCTGAGCAATAAAAGCTGAAAACCCCCTGGTATTAGATGTCATTACTGGATTCTTTGTTGATGTGGTCTTTGGTATATATGCTCCTATTTTTAGAGTTTTATTCTGAATCTTGTAATAGCAACCGTTCCATTTTGGCATGAGGTCTTATCTATTAACAGTGATCAAAGTGAAATATTTCATTTGAGTTAGAAAACGGGACACTTGAGATGAATGAGGTTCTGCTGTATTTGGAGAGTTGGATGTTTCTGATATACGATCTGACTTACAAAGTTAGAAAATAATTTGCACAAAGCATTTAATTTATAAACAGATAATAAAATACCATTAGCATTAAAAGTTTAGAAAACAATTTTGAATCTCTTTCAAATACATTGTAAACAAATATTCTGTGTGCTATTAAGGCTTATAAATAATTCTTTTGGCGTTTACGTGGTTTAAAAACTAAACTGATACATTGTTTTCTTAAGAAAAAAATGAGATCTCTGAGAACTACAGAATTAAAATAGAGGGTTGCTTTAGTTAAATGAGAAAAGGTTCATTCTCTTTAGGTAGAAGACAGGCTGTCTTTCTACCTTTAACTCATTTAGGGGTAAACCTGGGCTCTTGATGTTCTCAAGAAGTTAACAAACTGAGCATAGAACCACGTTTTGATTTAAACCTCCCTCTTAAGGACTGTATTTCCTTAAGCAGTTTTGCCTTGCTCTTGCTTTGACCATTTCTGTTGATTAGAAGCAGGCTTTCCTCTAGTCCTATTTGTTCGGCGTTGCCATGTACCAAAGGTGTAGAGAATGGGCAAAGGGGGCAAATTGCAACCTATAAATACAGTGCTCAGTAGAACTTGTCCTCTGTAGTTTGGTATTATTCAAATGGTAGCTAGTGCAATATGCTTTTGAAGATATTTTTGTTCAAGGGCTGTCTGTCATTTGTTGAGCCTGATGCTTGGATAATTCACGTCTATTGGTGTGCGTTACATTAAACGAAATCTCAATTCTACTCCCAAACAAGCTCTCAGTTTTTGAACATTAGGTTTGTTGGACTTTTGTCCCCTGAGCACTTGCAGGCCAGCCGTTCAGGACACTTTTCCTCCATGGAGAAGTAGTGTCTAGGATAAACGTAGCAAATGTTTTTTCAATAAACAGAACTCTTTCTCATATCCTTTTCTCGTCGGCCCTCTCTAATTTCCAGAGTAAGCTTTTGCACTGTTGCCATGGGACTTTGAAACAGCCCGCAGGTAAGGAATGGTCACTCATAGACTTAAATCCATTTCATGAGGAACATAAACATTAAATCATGTTAATTAACGTTAATATGACTTACATGGCTTAAGACCTATCTTTGGGTTTAGCAGAGCTCTAGGAATAATTTAAAAGATGAGCTATTACTCCCACTGGGAACTTGACTTCGAATCCACTAAAGGCAGTGAGTGTCCTTGAACTAGCTTAGAAGGCTTTGACTCAGGAGATAATTTCAAATCAGCTTTCCTGGCTATCCCTCTGCTGTTCATTCTGCTTTGTGATGACTTCTTTATGCTGGGCTGTATATCAGTGCCACGCAGAGCAAACCCCTTAACATCCCTTTTGCTGTTCTGGACCATGAGGCAATGAGCCATGTGTTTTTTAGATGATCATATGAAGATTCAATCTATTTTTAGGGCAATCTTGTTGCCAGGAATAATATATGGGACTTTTGATTTGAATGGTGGATTATGTGATGATGTAAATGCCCAAAATGGGTATTTAAAAATATTTTTTACTGACTTAACGTTTAACAGATTAACACCCCTGATGCAGTTACATTTAAAAGCAGCTTCGTATTTCATATCTATTTTGTATTTTTGACTGATTTCATTGAGGACCTCACCACAAACACCACAACTTTGGTTTCAAAGCCCCAAATGAGCAATAATTAGGTAGAAGTCAGTACATTTAATAGATGAACTGTAAGATGATGAAGAGACCACATCCAATGAATTTTATACAATCTATTTCCAACTTCAATGCAAATATTTTTATTTCATGTTTAGCGTTCTGCATAATGTGACCCAATACATTGACCTCTGTCATTCTAAGTGATCCCTCTACATTGAGTTGAAAAGTGAATTAATTTTCCTTCAGTCACGTAATAAGCATATGTCTCAGATCCAGCATACTATATTGACACATGTAAAACCCACTTAAATAAATCAAAGGGGCTATTTGGTTATTTTTCCATTTGCATATAGGTTGATGGGAGAATAGATTGTTTTAATACCTCAGGTATTTGTTTCGTTGGTATAGACAGCCACAAAAATGATCAGCATCAGAAATGTTCTTTGGAAGAATCACTGGGGCTATCAATATCTTGGGTAGCTTACTCCTCAAATTCATCGGTTTTAGTAGGTTTAAACATATAAATTCCTTTTAGAATGTATTTGCACTTTTTTAGATTTCACTGTTCAGTTGATTGCTTTTTCAAGTATTTCAGCTTGTAATAACTCCACAGTATTTGGATTTGCACAAAAGCAAGGATGAAAAGGCCTAGAAAGATGTTTTCTTCAGCATTGTCTTTAATGGTTATACTTTCTTTTCTTTATCTAGATACAACAATGGTGGCGTATATGCTGTTCAGGTGGATTCTGAAAGGGCTTATTTTGTCTTTTCTGCTCAAAACTACTCTGTCCCTAAACCCAGATGATCCAAATGTTTGTAGTCATTGGGAAAGGTAAAGTATATCATGTATTTTTTTTTTTTTGACTAGCGATTTCAAATTTTTACACTTAAAAGGCAAAATAAGAGCCATCATTTGCTAGATGCCACCCTGCCTCACAAAAGAACATGGATTTGCATGACAGAAATAGCACTTCTGGGTGCCTTTGAGGATTTGCATCATCCCAAAGAATTGATTCTAAAGGTAGGGCTATAGACCACATACCCCTGCGTTACCTGTCTTTGGGAAGTTCCTCCACAGTTTCAGCTAGAGGACTGCACAGGTGTATTTTCATTTATCACGGAGAGACCTAGGGAAATGGTGGCCTTGTTCTGTCTTGTTTTTTCTCTGGTTTTTGCCCAGCAAGACTATTAGAGATTTCAAGTAAGTTTTAAACCCTTCCTGCTGCAACATGCAGGCTTGTTCTGTATGTACTGAACTTTGTGGCTGTATCTGCCAAGTTCGTGTCAGCATCAAAGAGTATCTGCATGAAAGCACTGAGAATTAAAGGCCCTGATAATTCTGTTCTCTCTATTGTTACAGTGCCCTTGTCCTAAAAGTGGATCTGTGCAGGACAGTTCTTATGAGTACATAGAGACCCACTGGCTTTGATAGGGTTCACATTCATGCAGGGTCTGTCTGTAGAGGCTAAAGTTCCTGTCCTCTTAAGTTTAACTTGCTGAAATGCGAGTTCTGTTCTGTGGTTTAGTTCCACACAACTATGAATTACTGTACACTTTAGCAAAATAAACCCCTTAACAACAGCAAAAATGGAATCATACTGTAATGGCACTATGTTTTTATTTTAGAGGCCTTAATTAGAGAGCTAACTGCTTGTAGGTATTGCAGTTGCAAAGACTCTACAGGAATAGGATTTTGCAGTCTGTGTTGTGAGGTGAAGTGCATTCAGAGCACAGGAATAAAATATTGATTTTGTCTGAAGAAAGTCAGCAACCTAGAGACCCAATCAAGGAGAAACAAAAATTAAATACCAAAATTGATTGGTTGTACTGACCAAGATGACTTTGTTACTTAGATGTTAATAAATCAAAGGGAAAAGATTGTTAGGGCAAGTGCCAGATAACAAACGGGATCATAAAATAATAATCAAGATTTGTGAGTGTTACTGTTTTACATTAATAATGAGCAATGTAAATATTTTACATTTTGGCATTAGTAGAAGTGGAAACATTATTGTCAAACCCAGCAAATTGTGATAGAGGGCAAAAGCAACATCTACTGGAATCTTGGCTTGTCGAGAAGGGGCATGACAAGCAGGGCAGTAACAGTCCAATCTTCGATTTCAAGCCAGTCAGACCCTCCAAGCAAATATTGTGGTATTCCCTTACGGGGGCAATCTCACAGGGCTTAATCACATCAGCAGTCCCATTGATGAGAAGGAAATCACTTGGATGATTAAGACAATCAATATAATGAATGACTTGGAGGATCTAATTCCTGGGTCTTGACCCTGCCTAGAATGATTTCAGTATTTTTCTCCAAAGGTATTGTAGATCTGATAAAGTGGAGCTTGTTTCCAGATCAGAACCTGAGATTATGAGTCTCTTAAGCAGTGCACACACTTCGGTAGGGTGATACAACATTCTAAAATGACTGACACTAACAAATTATATTTATGTTCCTATATCATGCGAGAGGCCTGGACACTTTAAATATAATCATAGTAATTGATATAGTACCTGTGGCATGATTCAGTAGTGTTTTGGGAAGGGTATTGCTAAATTCTTGGTATTGTTGGAGCTCTGTGATGTCTAATGAGTTTGCCCAGGTTTTGTTTATATCCATTCATTTGTACAAAGGGAGGGAATCTCATTCTAAGCGTGTTTCAAACTGTTCCAAATCTAGATACCGGTTAACTCATGTTATAATTTTCAGATAGTTCTGAGGTTATTTCTGCTACAAATTAAAAGGATTAAATTTGTGCAGCAGAAAAATAAACACTCCAACCTTTTACAAATGATCCTGTTTGATTGGTGCACCCAATATTTGAAGTAATGATGCTGCTTCATCATAAAATGAAGTGTGAGCATCCCATCGTGCCAGCAAAATGCAGCAGTGCTAAGTTAATATGAGCTCTTATTAGCAATGTGGAATATAAGCAAAAACAGTCCTAGGCAGGAAGGAAACTGAGACATTTTGAAAACATGGTGCTTTCTCTCTTTTAAAATTTGCACTATCAAATTAACCAAATGCTCTTTTCACCTTCTAAACTACCATTAATTTTAGTAACATTTGTTTCTTTTCCAAAAGGGAGTGGGTTATTACTCAGACTGAAATCTCTCTGCCTTTTCCAGTTATGGAGCCCAAGTCAGAAGCATTTTCAGGAAGAGCTGTGAAGGAAGGAAGTCCTTTTCTGGTTTTCGATAATGCCCAAATTTTCTAAGATAATCAATATAATTATTTTTCACACCGGAGTTAGATAAGTAGTGTATAGAGGGAACTGAAGCTTTTCATGTTGCAGCAAACAGCTTTTCACTTTCTTTCTTTGTCTGCTCCTAGCTACGCTGTGACAGTACAGGAATCTTATGCTCATCCTTTTGATCAGATCTATTATACAAGATGTACTGACATACTGAACTGGTTCAAGTGCACTAGACATAGGTAAGAGCCGATCCCCAGATATTTGAGTTTTAATTTGCCTTTTCATCTCCTCACATAACCTTTTATTTATCCAAGTTTTTGTATCTAATACAGATATGTATGGAAAAATGTATTTTAGTACAATAGCCAGAGTGTTTGGCATTCTAGGACACGGAAGTAGAGAGATTTTTTGCATGAAATGAGAGTGAGATCAATGGTAGTCAGTCTCTTATGGGGCCGTTCAGGAGTACGTATCCGTGCCATTCACCCTGCCACGTGATTGGAAGTTTTTATTGCGTGACGAAGCATGACCAACTATCCTTTCCCAGTGATCACTGAGTGTCCAGGTTTATGGCAGGAAGTCCCAGCAGCATCTTGAAGAATCAGGCACTTGAGGGTTAGTGATAATTATAAATGGATCCATATTTGAACTACTGTATTGAAAATACAATCCAAATCTGTATTGAAAATCAAGTAAAATGAGGATGGGTCCATTTCTAGCACTGAACGAAAGCTGATACTAAACAGTTAATTTTCCCCAGGCTTCAAGACAGCGCTGCTATATTCATTCTGATTCCAAGTAGAAAAGTATCTTAATAAGCATCCACTCATATTCACAATCTTTCAAGGGAGTTTTAGCAAGCGAAATGGTACCTTAACTTTCATGCATTCAGTAGCAAAAAGGTTGTTCAGCACCATCCCGGTCTTACTGTGGGGGTTTTGTTTTTTAGCTTCTGTGTTACAATGCATGGAACTGAACAGAGATGCAGAGCTTTCCGGACTGTTGTATAGATTGGAATGCAGCAGAGTAAATTCGATCAATTTATCTAATGTGAGGGACAATAGATTTTGTTCAATTTGGGGAATTTCAAATAAACTAACATGAACAAAGCTGTTTTGAAGTGTTCACTGTTAAATATTCTCTGTTAAATACTCCTTTTCTACTGTGGTATCATTGCTAATGCTATGAATAAGTCTAGAAAAGCTACAGAGTGTTTAACACCTTTTAATTTCTATGGACTACATATTGTGGTGGGGAAAACATGCTTTAAGTACTGAACTGGGACTATAATGTCATTTTACAAGGCTTTAGTGCCTTGGAAGGGTTGGCAAGTAGGAAGAAATCACTTGGGGTTAACTTCATGTTTTGTGTATTGAGAGCAGTTTCCATTGTGGTAGTTTCCTGTGTAGCGCACTGACGCAGTGGTCTCCGTAGAAGATTCTGTTCATTCCATTGATGATAGCTGACCTTGCTGATACACAGAAATGAATCATTTATTCTTGAAGAAACTCCTTGCCCTTGCTTTAGGACTGGGGAAATGTTTTAAGATAGCAGCCCTAGGAAGGGCTGTGGTGATTGACTGTCATGAGTACTGTGTTTATAATACAAGTTATATTTCAACTTTCAAAACAAGTATTGATTTTCTTTTTATTCTGGCTTTTAATATCAAAAGCTTTCATGCATTTTAAAATAATTATTGAATGCTATCTTTACTATAATTTAACACAAATATAATTCCAACAGTAGGCATTGATTTTCAATATTATCAAATGGCTTTCTGTCTTGCAATTTAGAATAAGTTATAAAACAGCATATCGAAGAGGACTAAGAACTATGTATCGGCGAAGATCTCAGTGCTGCCCTGGATATTACGAAAGTGGAGACTACTGTATACGTACGTACAGAGCTTTGATTCAGATATGACAATTAAAAGTAGTTTTTGGAGGAGCTGTAGACAAAGATGTGTTGCAGTGTAATATTAAGGGCTGATTTTCAGAGGTGCTCAGAACCTTCAGGTCCCACCGATTTCACTCAGAGCTGCAGGGACAGAACATTTCAGGTCATTTCAGGTGCATGCATTTCAAGCACCTAAGTAAAATTTTGCTGAAATCATTGGAGATGGAGTTAATCAAGTTCCTGAGTACTTTCTTGAATCAGACCTTACTTTAGGGAGTAATTTATGCAAGCATGCACTACTGTTAAAGAATTAGAGGAACTGAGAACTCTCTTAGGAATGAACTGTTGCAGTGTAAGAAGCAGCGTAAAGTTTCTGCCTCTTAACTTTGAAAGTTCTTACTCCAGGTAAGAACAGTTAAAATCTCATTGTGTTTCACATCCTTGCTGTCAATAATTTTGCTCTTTTTAAAGCTTTGCAAATGTCAGAAGAACTTTGTCCTAATTGCACTGTATAAGTAAATAATAAAGCTCTGGAGTGTGTTAGGTCAGTCTGAAGGGGACAAAAAGAGAACTGGATCTTTCAGCAACACCTACAAGCTTTGTTAATTAAAAATGTCCTGTACATTAATGTCATGTGTTTTCAGTATCACAGCTTTCTAAGTACTCTGAGACAGAACATATTTGCTACACTTTGCTCAAAAGGAGAATGGAGCTTGGGATCTCTTGTCTACATCTTGTTAGAATGGGATTATGACACGAGAAAAACACAAGGAGGTTTTGATCAACATCAGAAGCCAAATTTTATTGACAGGTTTAGAACGCCATAGAATAATTTAAATGTGAAAATGATACAATTATCCAGCTAACTTTAAATGTCTTGACAGAGTGCTTTAAAGCTATTTCTCTCTAGTTCTGTTGGTGTTTTTATCTGAGTACCTATATTGTACTTTTATTGTAATATGTGAGCACCTCAAAAACATGAATGGACCCTAATCGCATTCTAAATGACCTTTATACCAAACAGTTACTCTAAAGGGGCTTTGGACTGTGAAAAATTACACAGCCCTTAGAGATAAGGCATTAGAATTAGCCTTGTTTTACAGAGAGAGTAATAATTTGATCTTTTGAAGTGGAAAGTGCTGTTACACAAGTCCTGAGAAACATTTAGTGTAACCTACTGTCTTTACTAAAATCCTTCCTATATTAAGTATGTACTTACCTTTACATTTCTAAATTGTTAATGTCATTTCAGCAGTTGTTCAACACACTTTTATTACCAACTTGAATTTTGTGGCTCAAAATCCTGTCTGGCACAAAGCATATTTATTTTCACTTTTCTCTCTGCAATCTATTGATTTTTTTAATTTATTTTTTAATTTTTAATTGCCATACTGGTTGCAACAACAGGACACCTCTGCAGAGTTTCTCTTTCTGATTCTTTGAGGATATTAGCATTTATTTTAAAGTGCTTTTTTGTTGGTATTAATACCCAAGAGTTCTGCTGCTGCCAGGCAGATTTTGTCTTTATATTATGGAGAAAGAACACCATACACCAAAGTTTTGCTGATGCAGAACAGACCGCAAGTATCTGGTCAGACCAGGAGTTTCATGATGTTCTGACTGTTGTTTACATGTGCCAAGAGTCAGGTTCTTATATTTCATTATCTGCATGGTCATAAAGGCAGAGTGCATGCCTCAGGGACATTTTGTATCTCTCCTCCTTCCTATGAGATCTGAGCAGCAAGTGCAGCTGAGAGAGAAATGATGTAAAGGAAGAAGTTTTCGATCTTAATTGATTCTAGATGCTTGGTCTTATTGTTTTGATACCACAAGTGGCCACATAGCAAAAAAAAAAACAAACCCAAACCCAAAAAACCAAACCCATCGAAACTTTCTGACCCTGCAACCAACAGTTTGAAGGCACAATAAAATTCAGCTAATGTCATCCTTTTCCCATGCCATCCCTTTTGTTTCTAACACATCAAGCCCTGGTCCCACTAGTTTTGTTTTGTTGTACCACAACATGTTCCTGTGCCAACAAGCAAATTCTCCCATTCATCATTCTTTGCAGTCAGCAGTGAATTCCATTTTCATTCCTGGTGGCAACTCCCTGCTTTTGCCTCTCTCCTTACCTTCCTTTCCCATTTCTTTCTTTTCTTTTACCTGATATTTTCTGCTGTTTCCTAACAAACAAGGTAGTCTAGTACTCCTGTCCCACATTCCTCTAGATATGCTCAGTTCCTGCTCCTTTAGTGGCAGCTGCTACAAGAGACAGGTCAGGAGACACCGTCAAAATCATTCCACTTGCCTCGCTGTCGTAGGGCGGCATGGTTCGGAGTTGACCGTGCTTCCGCTAAGCCCCACTGACATGAAGGGAAGGAAGCTCCAGCCCTGCAGAGCAGGTTCTCCCCACTCAGCCAGCCCTTCAAAATCTATTCCATTAGCAATCATGGAAGCCACTACAACATGGGGAGGGGAGAATACATCCCGCAGTGAGTCTGATGATCAAAAGAAAGTTTGATTAAAAAACAGTGTGTAGATTAAAGGCTAATTGGGTCTTCTTTCATTAATAGCGGTTTTTATTTCTTGCAAAAGTTAAATAGCTTTGTAATTAACAGTGACATGTTTAGACTAGAGGAGGCTGAGTTTAAATCTCTATTAATGACTCTTTCTTGGATTTTAAAGCAGGAGTGAAGGCTTTCAGCTACTGTTTTGATCTTTTCCCTTCTTATTTACTATTTTGTAAAGGAATGTCAGATGTATGTTTTTATCTTTGTCCTCCTTTTGGGACTTACTGAATGGATTAGGTCTAATAAAATCTACCGTCAGTACTAAATGATCAGGTTGACCCAGAGCCTCTTGCTCTGCTATTCTTCCTCTGGTGTCTTCTTTGCCCTTTTGAGATACTCATATGCTACTGCCCCATAAAATGTGGAATTCAGGCACAAGGTCAAATAACTTAAATTGTTGACTGGTAAGTTATACATCTGGCCAGCCTGTTAGTACCTAGGTTAAACAGCTTTGGGGTATGAAATTGTCTTTTTTTCTGCCTATAAAGAGCTTGGAATGTTTTTGGGTTGTAAAGATATTCAGAAAATACCACCTGAAAAATGCTGCAAATGCACATCTGCATTTTTTTCTCGTTGATGTCTTAGAAATAGTTGCTACCATTCTGGTAGTTTTGCAAAATGATTCCCCTTCTCTGAATGTTCTTATACATGACATAGCTTTTCACTGAGCTGTTGCTGAAAACAAACAGCATAGTCCGAGCAGTAAATCAGAGCAACTATGATTTACTATACTTTGTATGCTAAGGTAAGCTTTTGGCAGAGCAAATGCATAAACTGCAGAAAATCTTTTTTTTTTAAACAACCACAGGGTTCAACTGCCCTTCAAGGTTTTCGTAAGGATGTTTTGAAATTATATTGCCTAGATTAGTTGTAGATAATGTATTTCTAAATATTTTGATGTTCAAAAAAAAAAAGAAAGAAAAAGAAAAGGAATATTACATGGCAGTTTCGTGATTTTTATCCTTTGAGTAGATGGCAATTGAATACTTCCCTTTAAGAATATGTCAGGTGGAAAGATCTCCTGTGTACTAAATGGATACATTTTTGTCTGAGAGACCAATTCTTTGTTCAGTCTGTCCATTTTAATCTTATTCTTCCACCACAGATTTATATAAAAGAGATGTTTCTTCGAGGTAACAAAGGGTCAGAGACCCAAGCATCAGAGAAAAGGAAGATGGGACTGCAAGTGGCATCTACTTATATCTGACTTTTTGGCAGAAAAAAACAACCATGAAACACAAAGTTGGGAATTCACCTTTTCTTCATAGATTGAGATATTTTAGCTTTTAACAGTTTTATTTTTCACTCTCATACCTTACACTCTTTTTCTAATGTATAAATCTATGCAATGTGACAGGATGTAATAATGACAGGATTAGTGATTTAACAATCTTATTTGCTGCCATTTATCTGTCATTCAAACCTGCCAAAATTCAGTAGAGTTATAGATCGACCATTTCATGGTTCTTTCCTTTCTTGGCCAAGATCGATCTCAGATTGTTTCTCAACATTCAGCTTTCCACATTACAGTTGCCACAACCATCGTCAGGGCTCCTTGACTTTGACAAATCTTTTCACAGAGGAATTCTTGGTCTCACTGGTTGAATCTCAATTTGTCACCTAGAGTGGTGGTTGACTCAGGCCAGAGGTTAGGAACATTATTATATTTGCATGTACTTATTTACCCATCTTTTCAGCTAGCCTATGTCTGACACCTTTAATGAATTTCAAAAACAAATGAGGAATGTTCTTTTAATAGCTGACTTGGTGATAATATGCAAATTTGGGACCTGATTTTCAGGATTTTGAGTAATGAATTTTGTAATTCCAATAGACATGCCAACTTCATAGTATGATGTATGCTTTTATATTGTAGCAGTATGAACATTCATACCTCAGGATTGCATTCAGATTTACAAGACTGCATGTCTACTGTACTTTTTGTAATCTTTGAAAAGGCTGCCTTATTGGAGCCATATGGCTAGATTGTTAAACATCTGTACCATAGGAGTAACAATTCCAAAGCTTCCTGCCATCTGGATGAATTACAATACTTGCAATTCAATGCATATGTTACAACAACACACCGACACCACAGTAGAGTGTACTTATGATGAAAAGAAAAATAATAGCTTATGTGATCAGTGCAAAAGTTGCACGCTCTTAGAAAATGTTGAATCAGCGGCTTAAACTTCTGAATATTCATAATGTTTGTTCATATGTCAGATTTGTTGATTATTTGCACTTTCAAGGCAGCAGCTCATTAACATTTTAGAAGAAATGTTGTCCCCCTCTTTCTCACCGCAGTTTTAAATTCCTCATGGTGAGCATTCCTGTAACTTGAAAATATATTGTTTGAAAACTGCTGGACTTAGGAAATATATTTTTCTTATCTTTATAGACACACCTTAAAGCTGGTGCTAGTGCT